AGAGGAAAGTAAGGAAATTAATTTTCAAAGCAGAGGAACCAGAAAAATTCTTTTTCATATCCTGATCTTTTCTGCAAGCACCATGCTGAGAGAAAAAAAAGTAAAACAAGTTTTAAGTGAAATAACCACTTACTGAAACACTTGCAGAGACAAATCCTGAAGTTATATAGGCTGCAGTGATTCTATTTTTCAAGCTATGCTTTCGAAGGTGCCATGATATACTGTGGTTGTCTTTAATGCTACAGTTAACATATATTAAAGAAGTGCTGGTGTCTTCATCCTCTGCATGTGCGTGATGCTCTCAGACTCTCGCTGTCCTGGTGGCTTGGAGCTCCAGGTCTTGCCTGTAGCAGATGAATGCTGGGAAGGATTGTTCCCCAAGATCAGTGTGGGATGAGGCTGCCCCATCCCAAAGCCCTGGGAGCCCTTTGGGAAGGACAGACAGTCCCTGTCCCTCCCAAAGCATCACCCCCCACTTGTGTGCTGGGACTTTATTTACCACAGCTTGGGAAAGGAGCACCCCCTAAGAATTATTCACATTGTTTCACAGAGCTCCTATCTCACATCTCATTTTTTTTCCCAAAGGCTGATGAAATTAATGCGAAGTGACAAAAGGAAAGGAACTCAGCTAACGATGTGGCTGAGGTCAGGCTTGAGGAGCGAGCACAGTGGGTTAAAACACCAACACAGTAATGTAGGTGTGAGCAAATGAACCGTCTAATAAATAATTAACAATTAATTTTCTTCTGTCTTTTATCTTTACCTCTTTTTTTTTTTTTCCCCTCTACTTTTCTACTCCTTTCTTCTGTTTTGCATTTGCCGTGTTCCCGCAATTAATTAAAAAACAAAATCAAAGCGAGGGGTTACAAAGTTCCAGTGGTGAAATCCTGCTGGAATGAAAAGTTCTGCTTCTCCGATCCTATTAGTTTGTGCTGGTGTCGAGGGCTGGCTGTGCATATTTTATGGAGCAGTGGATCCCAGCACAGCCCTGCTGCTGCCGAGCTGGAAAGCTTTGTTTTAGAAATCTCCAATGCGATGTAGCCGCAGTTTGTGTCATGTTATATTGTCATATGACAAGACATGAACCAATGTAAGCCAGCAGAATGCAGCACAATGCATTGTATGACTTACACCTTGTCAGGTTTTTTGGCTTCAGAAAGAGCTTTTTTCCCTAAGGTAGTAAGTGATGCTAGAAAAAAATCCCCGTGTTACCTAGGAACTGACAGGTGCCCCTATTTTCTGACTATCCAAATTAAATTTAATCTGGATGTGTTTCCACACGGCAAATCTAAATGTTGCTTTACTTTTTGTCACTTCCCGATTGGAACATTAGTGGCCTGCTAATGTGATTAACTGTTTGCCTCAGGCAGCTCAGACTGGGCTTTGTCCCACTGGACAACTGATGAGCTCAGCAAAGTTTAAAGCTCCCTGGCTAAGAAGGGATCAGCATCTCAAACCTGTATCCCTGCCAGGGGGGCTGGAGCCGGCCAGGGGGGACAGGAGACATCGCTGTGCTGGCACTGAGCTGGGGACAGGCAGCCAGGGATTGTCTGGGGCACCTTATCACACTTTGCCTTATCACAAATGCAACAGCTCAGCAGTACTGTGGGGTGCAGAGGTGTGCAGGTGTGTGGGTTACAGGTGTGCAGGTGTGCAGGTTACAGGTGTGCAGGTGTCCACATGTCCAGGTGTGCAGGTGTGGAAATGTCACTGTGTACAGGTGTACAGGTGTAAAAGTGTTCAGCTGTCCAGGTTTCCAGATGAACAGTTGTCAAGGTGTCCATGAGTACATACATGTGCCCATGTGTCCATCCAGGTGTCCATGTGTCTATCCATATGTCCATGTGTCCATCCATGTGCCCATGTGTCCAGGTCTCCATGTGTCCAGGTGTCCATCTATGTGCCCATGTGTCCAGGTAAACATCACACAGCACAGCCCACTGCTGTTACTGTTAATTTTTATGGGTACCTGCTGTGTGGAGTTATGTGGATTAAAAAAAGAGGTGTTTGCTTTGTGTATTTCTAATTCTGGATGGTTGGTACCAGCTCAGCCTGCTCCTAGATTGCCCAAAGCCTGCTAAAATCCCAACAATGAATCTTTTATTGCCCAAAACACCAAATTCCAGCAGCACCATACGCAGAGCACTGCAGAGAGCTCCATATAGCATTGCCACTCCTGGCTGGGGGGAGGAGGGGGTGTGGGAAGTATTATAAAACAAATTATATCTGCTGCTTTGAGCAGTCACCCTCAAGTTCAAAAGTTCCCTCTGAGTAATGCTTTCAGCATTGTTTCCTCTGAGGGGAAGAGGAAACTCTTCCAACCCTTAGGAAACATTGTCCCCACAGAGCTTGGTACTGTATAGGGGTGTCAGAGCTAGTGACAAAGATTCCATGGAATTGCTTCAAGATTCCACAGTTTTTAAAGGGTTAATGCAGGGACCAGGCACACTCACTGTGTTCTGACTCTCGCTGTGTTTTCAGAGATAGCAGAAGTACCACACCAAATTCTACACCAAAAATCCACAAATCCACACTGGGTGGATTTTTCTGCTGGCAGCAGGAATTCCATGGTGTGTGTTAGCAGTTAAACTCGATTCCTTCATGGAATCTCCTACACTGGGGACAGCAGAGCAGATAACCTGATGCATGTTGTGAGGAGTTACAGCCTTTTTTACCCAGCACACTTTTGGTCAAGCTGGAATTAGACCAGCATCATTCAATTCATTGAGAGATTTAGGATTTTTTAGTATTATTATTTTTATTTTTTTTTACCTGGTTGAAGTGAAAACTCAGCAAATGCAATGAGAACATTTGGAGTTGTTCATGTCTGTCTGAACTAAGTGCCACCTCCAGGAATTGCTGGGACACCTCCAGGGATGGGGATCCAACCCACCCTGGGCAGTTCCAGTGCCTGAGCTCCCTTTCCATGGGGAAATTCCTGCTGCTGTCCCCCCTGAGCTCCCCTGGCCCAGCCTGAGCTGTTCCCTCTCCTCCTGTCCCTGTTCCCTGTGAGCAGATCCCAAATCCCCCTGGCTGTCCCCTCCTGCCAGGGACTTGTGCAGAGCCAGAAATTCCCCCTGATCCCCCTTTGCTCCAGGCTGAGCCCCTTCCCAGCTCCCTCAGGAATTCTCCAGCCCCTTCCCAGCTCCCTCAGGAATTCTCCAGCCCCTTCCCAGCTCCCTCA